TTTACATCTTTTATATACTTTTTAAAAGTAGAAAAGATATCTTCTCCTCTGGTGCTTCCCTTTAATGGCAGAACTTTAAGGAATTCTTCTTTTGTTGTAAAATCAGAAAATACCATCTTCACGCAAATTGCTATTTGTGATATATTTGTCACGTCTGCCGATTCATCCATCTGTAGCGAAAAGAAAATACAATTTTCCATATCATTTGCTAATTCTGCCTCCAAATTCTCCGCAATTACTTCAGTTCTTCTAGTAACAGTTTGCGCTGATAATTGCAATGTGTTTATAGCTGAAACTATTTCCTTTTTATTTTTAAATTCTTCAAAAAGTGAATCAGCAGCTTCTAACATGGCTTCTTTCAGTAATTCTCCATCTGTAAATGGTTTTTTATTCTTAGCTAGCAAATGCGATATTTTATATGACGCGATCGTTGCTGCTTTATGTTGTTGAAGTGGTTTAGTAAAAAAACTTTGCTGGTTAGTTATTAAGATTTTAAAGAAATAAATTTTTTACTTCTAATTTCAGAGTTCATTGGATAGTCACTATCAAAATTGGTATGAACGGTCTTAAAATGTCGTTCAATATTACTTTTCTTGGGAATCGCAACACTATTATTACACAACAAACACACTTCCCTTTGCAATCAACGAAACAATATAGATGTTCCCATTCATCGTTAAAATAATATGTTCTTTTTCTTTTACATTTATCCATGAAGGGTTTTGAAAGAAAAGAATTATTTCAGATTACTTAACAGTTTTAAATGCACGGTCTACGCGTGGTCTATTCGAAATAAGATCACACACTAACAAAAAATATGTGCGTGTTATAGATACGCTCAAGGTTAGCAAACTGCTAATCTATGCACAATCCTAAACTCAACTGACTCAGGGATAAATAGAAGGGCTAGCTCATTTCTTTGTTCGACTCCTCCCCGACGCGAGCCTAATGGGGGGACGTAACAGGCAATAATCTGACGTCACTGTGATGCCACCTGTCCTGATTTCCCGCGTTTAAAACAGTATTTTCATTGAGCTGCGAGACGATTTTCTAGAAGTTACATATCCCAAATTAATTTTAATAATATATATATCTGTTTTCTAATAATGTATATATTTAAAATAATTTATATATATGTAATTTTAGTCAGTTTTTATTTTAAATTCTATATTGTAAAGTATCGTTTACGTAATTTGGCTTTTTACGCTGCAGTAACGTGCCGTAGCACTTACAGAAGTATGAAAGATAAGATACTTTATTTCATGGGATCAAAGGATCCAAATGAGAGTTTGCTTTTGAAGAAAGTATGGATACACAAATGTCAAAGAGAAGATTCTATTAATGTGAAGAGCGGAAAAATTTGCAGCGAACATTTTCTATGCAGTGTTTATGAAGATGATATGAAAAATCGCTTGTTTGGATAGCCACAAAAGAAACTGTTGGAAATGGAATGCTGTGCCGAAAGTAAATTATTATGATGACAATAATAAATCGAAATTGATGATGACAATAATGAATCAAATTTTTAATGATTTTGAAATAAAAACTCACAAATGAAAATGTAGATATTCCTGAATGCCTAAGTGATTAAGGATAAACAAGAATGCATTGATAATTTGAAGAACAAAATAATATCCTTAGAAAATTGTATTAAAGTATTGAAAAATAGAGAAAAGAAAAATTTTAGAATGTTTGTTCAGCGACAAAGAAGGTGGACGAACATCTAGACAGAAATTGGTATCAGAAATTAAAATCTCAAATAGCGAAATTTCGGGGGGGGGGCACAAATCGGAGAATTTGGAAAAACGTCTAAAGCCTATTTTTTATAAAAGACGCAGATTAATGCATTACTGAAAAAGAAGAAAAAATCAGGTGGACTAGTGAAAATATTTCACGTAGCATCGTCATAAGAGCTCTGTCATCTTAAAGCTATGATTTTTGGAAAGAAAAAAAATTGGAATATCTTTACCTAGTATTATCAAATTAAAGAAATGGGGTTTATTTTATTTTTTAGTGTTTTCTAAATTTTAGTGTAGTCCAAGAATTTAAAGTAATGTTCTTACTCTAAAGAAGAAAAGAGGCGAATATTTGTATTCTGTAGAAAAAATATGTGTTCTCAGTTTCGACGAAATGCATATCGATTGAAAACTCTGCTATGACTCTAAACTGGACTAAGTTGGTTCTTTTCAATATCTTTCGATAATATCTTTGGTATTATGTGTATGTGTGTATTTAATTATGGCAAAGCACACTAGAGCTATCTGCCTAAGGGGAGGGATGCCTTCGTGGAGGACTTTCTATGGGAAACTGGCTCGTATACACGTTACACATGGGGAAAACCACGAAAACACCCATGCAGCCAGCCCGTTCGCGGGATTAGAACCTTGGACCGAACTACCAGTGTTCAGCGACTTTACCGCTCGGCCGCTGGTGGGCCTCTTCGGTAATATGAATAGTACCAAAATAGTACCAACAAGAATAACAAGTATTTAACAAACTAATTTTGTAAAGTACTTGCTAAAGTTATTCTTATTGTATCCTTTGTAACTAATTATTGATTAGATTTTGTGCTAGATTAGCATTCTAGATAAAATATAATAGTATAAAACATCAAAGTAATTGGCATAAAAAGACCTGCTTCCTTTACTCACACTTTTGAAAAATTAAATAACTGTTTTAGGTACTCTGAATAAAGCTATTTTGTCAAAATTAAGGTAACAATCTTATATACATTTATTTAATTGTAATATAGATATAAGTATAAATTACAAAATTATTTAAAAAATATCTATTATATTGAATCGGAAGAGAATTATAACAATGTAAAATTTACAATTAGGCAAAAAATCAAACGTAGGTTAGCAGAAATGTTGCCATATATGTCACATATATTTAAACCTATGTCAATGTAAAGTTGTTTTTTGAGTAAATTTAAATAGCTGCTATTATAGTTATCTTAGAAACAGCACAAAAATTCTCTCAGTTAGCATGCAAATAAAGAAATGATTAGAAATAAACGTGCATTAAATAAAAAAAAAACCTGCAAATAAAAATAAGAAAAAAAAAAAAAAAAAAAAAACCACGGAACTTTACGTTAAAAGAGTAGCACATTTTATCTATTATTTTAAAATTGAGTAAGCATTATTAAATTTTTTAATGGTTCAGTCTAAAATTCATAAAGCAGTAACATTGCCTCTTCCAAATTATAGCTATCTTTCACACACAGCTCATTTTAAACACTGGTTCAAAAACGCTAATTTCCAAGCTGTGAATTATATTGGCGCGTTCAGTGTCATCATGGCTACGTCATCACTTCTCACTTTCTGCTTCAGGGGGAAAAGCTCTATGAGCTAGCCCTTCTCTTCTAAGTCCTGCAACTGACTACTGTCTAACCACGCTAGCGAGAGCAGTTTGGCCAAAGAATCTGTAAGGATTCTTTGGATCCTTACAGATTCTTTGGTTTGGCTGAGGCAAAGAATCTGTAACCTTACAGATTCTTTGGCTGAGGGCCAAGATGGGTCAGTTTAATTGAAGGGGTGTGTGGGCGAAAAGCGCGGGTATTTTTCCCTCTCGAAGGTCGAAGGGGTGTGGGTGAAATTGAAGGTCAGGGGACATTTAGTGTCTACTGGGCTACTGCACTCACCCCTACATAACTGATAGATGTGCCCACTTGCGCCCCAAACTGGATGTTTACATAGATGTGGAATACGTGGTCAGACTTGCTGTATATCGCCGTTTGACAAGAGTAAGTAAATCGCTCTGGCTATCACACATTTACATTAGTCCAGCGAGGGCGCATTAAAAATCGATCGGGGGCGCCACGGCGCCGCGTTGCCTACCCCTGCCTTAGATCTACCAATCGAGGATTATTTTTAAAGTCCATTTTGCCACAAAAATTAAGCAAGCAAAAAAATGTTTTAAAAAACATTATTTTTTTGAATTTTCCTACAGTTCTCTATTTTTCTACATAATTTCCCTGCGAGTTGAAACCTTTATCATAGAACTCCACAGCCTGTAATGACAACCAGTTAATCACGGTCATTTTCATTTCTTCACCAGCATCTTGCTCTTTCTTAGCCCCACTAACGGATAAATGATTAAGACCACTGAATACTGGTAGTTTGACGAGCCCAGGCGAACAGGTTGGCTGCATGTGTAGTATTCGTGGTTTCCCTGTGTGTAACATGAACTTAAGAAGGGTAGTTGCCCTTCTTAAGTTCTCCACGAAGGCATCCCTTCTTTTAGGCAGATAGCACTTGTGTTTCTTGAGCCCCTTATAAAAATATCTTGACTTTCCCTACATTACCGCCCCATTTTCGTGATTTACTGGCACTCAGTGCATTACCATCGTATATTTCACATATATGGAAATGAATAGCCGCAGCTTTTATGTTTTGAGTTATTCACAGCTGAATGAAAGATCATATTTCAAAGTTGGCAGGACGCTGGATTTTCTTGAAATTTTTAAACTCGTACTACAAAGCGTACAGACCGACGCCTTAAATTTACGTCGGATTCCGCATAAAGAATGCCTGGAGAACGTGAGTGCACTTATTCACACTAGCGCGCAAAATTTCAAATGCTGTTCTTCGCAAATGGACCTTATTTTAAAGATAACCTACATACGAAATAAGGGACAAAACTTACTTATCAGTATATAAAGGAAACCTTTTTTATATCAAAATCGAATCCACTTCGAGTAAATTCCTACTTCGAGATTTATCTTACGTATATCTCACCAATGAAATACTACATATATCCCAAGTATAAAAATAAATATCACATTTAAACATGAAAACACGTATAATACTTGAATGCATGAACTCCAGTCGAACTACCATTGTTCAGCAATTTTCCGCTCAGCCGCAAGTTGACTCCATTAATATTTAAAAATACTTAAATGAATTAAGCATAAGACTATAACGGGTATATACGCAAAATAAAGGAGAACTATAATCAAATCTTACAATACATAATAAAAAAAGAGAGAGAGAACTTACCAACAACCATAAGTGTGAATTCAAAACCTTTCTTGACAGCTTTTCGATACACTTGATTTGGCAAGTTTGCGAAACCTACATAACCATCCATTTCTCTAACAGATGTTTCTTTGGCATACGTAGAAGTAGTAATGGAAGAAGAATTTTCTTTACTTAAATTAGATAATGGAACAGAAACAGATGAGGTAAAATTATTTACATTTGGCGCAAAATTCGCCGGCACACTGGGTACACTGGCAGTATTTGGTGCGGAAGGAGTTGTATTACTTTCTCGGAAGAACATCTCTCTTTTCTGTGAAAGCTGAAAAGGTATAATGAATCAAACTATAACAAGCATAAAATTAACATTACATAAGCTATATTTATAAAATATTCGATGTATTAATCTCTGTATATGAAGTTTATACCCCTTTTCATGCAATCATTCAATGATAAGACAAAGGAAGTATAAATAATGGCTCAAATTAAAAGTCGAACACTTACATTTTTATATTTTATAAAATAATTTTTAACATAAATAATTTAAATAAAATTTAACATAGCCTTCATAAATCAACTTTCGAATACATATTAATTAATCATAATCAAAAGAGAAAGTTAGCCACTACTAAATTAAAAAAATCTGATGTGTACACCACGGATCTTGTACTTCTTGTAATCTTCCTTGTATGGAATATTAAATTATACGCATTTTTTCTTGCATTTCATTTGAACTTATTGGATTGAATTAAATCTACTTCGCCGACAGCACATAAACCACAATAGAATAAAATGCATTCTTTAAAATTCACTCTAGTATTTCTTTACCATAGCGACACTCTGGCGCTAGATTCACTTAACAGTATTATATTTCATTCATATTATAACTAATAATGCACAAAATTTATATCATTTAAAGAATAGAATTATCTAATCGTTGCCACATGTTCTATTAAAATACTATAATAAAGCTAGAATGCTATATAAAAGAAATTAAGAAAATAAAACAAAAAAGAAACAGTTTTTCACAGACGATTGAGTATTTCTCATTCAATTAATTCAGTTCTCACTTCGCAAAAGGCAAAAATACATAAAAACTCAAAATATCTATATTAAAAATTACAAAGTAAATTTTAAACACTTATTTCCTCTAAAAAGAAAGGCAGAAAGGATTAAGCAAGATTTAATTGGCAATAATAAATAAATGAAGGCTTATCTTTGTTGTTGTGAAGCTAAGTTTCTCTAGATTGGCAAGAAATCCACTAGTCTGCTGTTTCAAATGTAAACAATCAATGGCCGCCATAAAAGAAGGCTTAGCGGCACTTAAACAACTTTATAATTGTTGATAATTCTAAAAATATTGCATACAGATTTACTAAAGGCATAAAAACCTTAACCGGAATGTAAAAACAACATAATTCAATCATTTTTAAAGCAAAAAATGTACAATTTACAAACATGTAAGAGTAAAGAAACTGAGATCACTGAGCCGGGTAACAGAGTGGATATATATATATTAACAAGCAAGGTAGTTAGTACAATACCATAAGACCTATTTGGTCTAAATAATTTTTTGCGCAATATGCTGCAAAATTAAAGACATGAGAAATTGTAGAAAGCTCGCCAAAAAGTTACCAGGAGCTGTGGCTCCAAGAAAAGTTCAACACATTTTTTAAAAAACAATGTCATTGAAGGGTGAAAAATTATGCTACACGTTAAATTAAACACAGTAAAATACTAATCTTTGGAAACTAGTAACGGCAAAAAATACAGTAAAATACCTATTGATGTGACAAGTGTAAAGTTTAAAACATTAAAAACCAATCGATGGAACAAGTTTAAAAACATAAAACAAACATAAACATATAAAAAAATATTAAAAAAAAATTATATAAAGCACAAAATGGTAAATTAGCTTGACCCGAAGTTCAACCAGGCTTTTCAAAGGAAATTTCTAGCTGAACGTCGAATCAAGCTAACTCCATTACGAGTTTCGCCGAAACAGACAATTGAAACTTTTGCGTTACAAATTTTAATAAAATAGACGAATTGTCTTCGGCCGATTGCAACCAAAATACGAGGTGCACATCTACATGTTATAGCAGTCCTACATACAAAATTTCAACGTTCTGAGGCTACTCGTTTTTGAGTTATGGGAGGTACGTACGCACGTACGTACATACGTTCGTACAGACGCCACGAAAAATTCTCTTCAGAATTGATTTTAAAGCAGTTTTATAATTTTTTGGGGGGGAACGAGTCTTTTATTCTGTCCTTACCTAGAGATATCACGCAAAAACGTCGTTAAATTGCATTCGATAGCGGTCAAAATGGATATTTTCGTTGAAATATACTGCCTGAAACTTTTCGCGATTACAATACTTCCTTTTTACTTCGTACAAGGAAGTAAAAAATAATAATAAATAAAGCTTTTACAAGGTGAAAACTAGTTTCAACACAAAAGTCAGGCAACTTACATGATTTTTCTTATTTAAAACGCAAATATTTCCAAATTTTTCACGAGTTTCCTGTTGTTAGTATTGATATATTAATCTAATTTGTTTCTAGCTTGCTAATTTTCGTTTTGATGCTTAAGAACTTGAAGGCAATCTGGACAAATGTCTTATGAAATTCGTGAGCTTATAATATTTGAAACATTTAACAGATGGGTTGTCAGTAAGATTACTGAAAAAACAGGTAAAACGAAACCATTCAACAGTATTCGATGCAATCAAACGATTTAATGTGAAAAACACCATCAAAACAAAGCAAATGAAATAATTGTGCACATTATGAAGAGAACTGGATCGCACTAGCATAAAAGAAAAACCCAAAACTAAGTACTCCCAAATACAATAGAAACAGAAAATCATTTTAGAAAAAGGTAATCCTCATAGAATAAGAATTGTTCTTATAAAACTAACCATTATTTCAATCCACGAGTTGCTAGGGGAAAAAGAAACCCTTTGTGAACAAGATCAACCATTTGAAAGATTGAAATTCACAAAAATTCACAAAAATAGAAACTATTCATTTCGAAGGATACTTTTATTTAAAAATGATTGCATATTTAATATCTGTGGTTCGAATGTCCAAACATATAGAGAAGGTCAAATGAAGAGTATTAAGGGGGAAAAATTAAAACCTAACCCCTAAAAAATTGTAGTAGATCAATACAGATATGAGGATCAATGTCAACCAGTGGACCAGGTAACCTTCATATCATTAATGGAATAATAGATCAAAATAAATATCCACAAATTCTGAAAGAAAATGTTAAAGAGAGTGCTTAATAAATGGGCATAGACGATTTTTTTCATTTTTATTAAGCCAACGACCTGAAGCATAAAAACTTAGTCAGTGGTTATTTTATAATTGCTCACGTGAACAGATATTCCCCCTCAACCTCCATATTTAAATGTACTTGAAAATTTACAGGCACATTTGGAAGAAAAATTAAAACATCATGTCATATTCAATTCAAAAGATTTAGAAAAGGCTTAAAATGAATAGCGAAAAATTAAGCGTTCAATGTCGAACAAATTAAAAGCCGTTTTAACAAATAAAGGCTTGTCAATCAAATTATTATTCAAATTGATTACAACAATAATTATATCCGAATCTGATTTTGAGAGTACGTTTTATTGTTTGTTGAACTTTTATTTTTTCAAACTTAATACAAAAGATTTTGCTTTATTGGTTTTTGAATTTACAAATACTTCAAAGGAGTAAATACGATTAATTTATGATTTTGTTTCAATTCTTTTCCTTTTATTATAAATCATTTCATAAAGCGTAAAAAAGCAGGCATCTGAGTTTTACACTGAGTCACTTATCTCAATTGGTTGTTATAAATGCATGTTAACTATTCAACTGACTGACTACTTTCTATTCCTTAAATATGTCTTATCTCAAAGTTCATTATTTTAAGAGCACTCAAGAGATTCAGAAAATCATAAACATAGATTTTGTATTAAAGAGAAATGGGGGAACAGTTATATTAACACGCCCAAATATTATACAGACCTTTCTCTTTATTTCTTACGGATTATCGAAAATAAAAAATAATTATTATACATATATCAACACAATATTTTTTATTTGAACATTAAGCTTGATTCTGGAATACCAATGCCTCCATTTTTAATCTAATACATGAGACTGCTAAGAATGTTTTCAAGATATTCTTGATATTTTGTTCTTTTCGCTTCAACGGGAAAAATGCTCGCAAAAGTATATGTTTCCAAATAGAAATGCCATGAAACGGGGTTGTTCGAGGAGCACACCTTTTAGAGTTTCCTTCGTAAGGCACAACATAAGTCCATTTAAAAAAATATTACTTTCGCATTAATCGAAAATACACTCTCCATCATTATTTCGAAGCAACTTATTCTCAATTACATTTCTCACGATGGTGAATATATTATTTCATTTCTTACGGCCAGAATGTGCAGCTTATTACGCTCTTACAGCGGAGGAAAATATTAAAAGGATATTATGTCTTTTCCAATCATCGGATTATGGGTTTTTTTAATTCTAAGTGGATGTGGTAATTAATCATTACACTACAAAGGTATGCACGAGAGAAACATTATTCCTTAGAAGAAAAATAATTCACTACCGATCAATCAATCGAACGTGAAATTATTAATTTGATAACTAATCTTAATCAATATAGTGCAAAATGTAATTAATTACAATTTTTTATTACCTATTTCTCTATATTGTTAATACGCCACATGCACCGAGCGCAGGCTTAATAGCAAACATAAAAAGTAATTTTTTTTTTTTTAAATTACGATTTTTATACCCGTAACTTGAAGCAACTGTCACAAGATAATATTAAGTACTCATAAATGATACAATTCAACATTTGAAATAGTAGTTGTTTATTAAACTGCAGATCAGGGGAATAATTATTAAAAAAAAAAAAAAGAAGAAAACGAATCAGAAAGAAGAAACTAAAAAAGCACAATCTGAGCCAAAATTATCTGCAAACATGCGGAAAACTATGTCAGCACATCTAAAACCTTTTAGTTCAGACGGGGGGGGGGGGGGGGGACGTCTCTTTAAAGTTTTAAGTGATCTGCTGCGAAACTTTCAATTTTTGCCTAGAATATAGGTAACTGTAAAATGTAGTTTACAGTTTAGTACTTAGAGAGATACTTTCGCCGTACATTTTTTAATCGAGATGAAAATTATTCTTTTTGCATCATCAATACACTACATTTCATCAGCTGAAAATCGCAGAATTTTTTTTTTTTTTTTATCAAGTATACTTATTCATCTAAACAACAATCATGCACGGCCAGTGGAA